GAGTCTTATGTGTCATTTGAGAAATGTGAAAAGCCGTATACGCGAGGAGACGAGTACGTACTCGGCTTATATATGTAAATTTTATTGATCTAAAGTCCTAAGCATATTGTGTGGTAAACTGGGTAATTGTTGGTTTATATTTAATCATCTAATTGTCGTGCCTAAATCTTTGTTGTTGTTGAATCTGTTGTTATATGACAATTTAATGTGATTATTACTTAATTATTTATGTAATTTCGTGAATTTGTTGGTTGATAATTATTGGAATTTAATTTCATTATGAATTTTTCCTCTGCAAATAATTAATTAAATGAGCTTAAGAAGATGTGTTTATATAATTATTAAAAATTTAAATTTAATGAAGACTTTGCTTTGTGTTGGGTTGTTTTCATCCATATTGGTTGTTTTTGGGTGTTGTACACATCGTGTGAAGTTTTTGGCTATTTTTTATGAAATTAATTGATTTTGTTATATCCCTGGAATTTGTTGTGACCATTGAGCAAACTATAATGTGAATTGATTTTGTAATGTTGCCGTGATAACTTGCCGTGTAAATTGTTGTGTTGTATGAATTATTATTTTGAGGAGATAAGGGTGGCATTTCACCGTTGATATTATGTGGGTATAAGGGTAACATTTCACTATTGTTGTGTTGTTAGAATATTGTCTGGGCGGAGTGATAAGGGTGGCAATAAGAGCGATAAGGGTGGCCATTGTCAAGGACGATATGTGATAATGTGAGGTTGTGGTGTTGATGATTTTCATGTGATGTTGTGATTTCCTTGTGTTTATTTTTATACCTTGTGCAATTTGTCTTGTTGTTGATAAATTGATAACAATCTGATTTATGTTCAAATTGAGAGCCTGCGACTATGGTCAGACGGATTATAAAATGAAATGTGGGCTCGAGGTTCTATGATGAAATGATAATAATATTTGGCACGTGAGTTATCCATGCAGTTGTGATATGAAATGAGAGCACGAGGTGCCGGAAAAATATGATGATTTAATTATGGGCACGAGGTGCCGTGGAAACATGAAAAATGGGTTGAGACCCATGTTTACGAAAAATATGAAAATGGGTCGAGACCCGTATTTTTTATGATTTTGAAATGAGGTGTCACATGGTTACTTTTAATTGAAAGAATTATATTCAAAATATTTATTTGGAAGGATTTTTATTCAGAAAGAATTATATGAAAGAATTGTATTTGAAAGATATTTATTTAAGAAAATTATATTTGAAGATATTTATTGAAAAAATTTTATATTCGAAAGATATTTATTTGAAGAAATTATATTTGAAAAAGAGTTTTATTCGTAAGAATTAAGTGTGAAAGATATTTAATTGAAGAACTTGATTTAACTGGGTGTAAATATATTTATCAATTGTTGAGCGATATTAATGGTGATTTTATTGTCTTACTGTGCACATCACTGGTTGTTTTATGTTGTCCTTATTGTTATTTGCCTCATATTATTTTGTATATTATATTATACAGGTTATTAGACTAGTGAGTGTCATGACTGTACCTCGTCTCTACTCCACTGAGGTTAGTCTTGATACTTACTGAGTGCCGATCGTGGTATACTCATACTACACTTCTGCACATTTTTGTGCAGAGCCAAGTATTGAAGACATCGGACTTGAGTAGAGTTAAAGCGGAATCGTAAGGATTTAAGGTAGAGCTGTTTGGTCGTCGCAGTCCCTTGGAGTCTTTTCATTACATTGTACTGTTAACTTGTAATCAAACAGTATTGTATATTCGGTCATCGTGATCATTTCATGTATTCAGTTAGAGTTCGTGACTCAGTACTACCAGTGTTGGGTGGTTGTATCATTATTTCCGTTGTTCGTTTTGATTATCTTTTAAAAAGAAAAGGCTTCAAAAGGTATCTAAAATCGACTTACCTAGTCTTAGAGACTAGGTGCCATCACGACGCATGTGGTGCGATTTTGGGTCGCGACAGTTGATCGAGATTTTGCTATTGGTCCGCTGTCCGGAGACTTAAGGTAGATCTGTCGGCGTTCACAGACCTTGAAGTCCCCGCCTATCTTTTCTGTTCTACTGTTTCTTTCATTCAGACAGTTGTATTTCTTTCAGATTATTACTTGTAGTAAATTTTAGAATGCTCGTGAATTGTGACTCCAGATCCGGGTGGTAGTAATTAATATAGTTTTATGATATTCCGCACTTATTATATTTTATCTTAATTAATCATTGTTAATTACTGAATTGGAATAAGGAATTGGTTTAATAATTCTCTAACATTTGTTTGACTAGCAAGTGAAATGTTAGGCGCTATCACAGTCCCGTCGGTAAAAAATTACGGGTCGTGACAGGTTGCAACATAAATTACATTACTACACATATATTTTGTGCCATGAGAATTATCCTTCGCCAAAATGTTTACAATTACAGAAAGGTATATGATGAAGTCATTGTGATTTTCGATATTGTTTGAGTTAAGTGTAAAATAAACGTGCAATAG